TTGCACATATTGATGCCAGAACAGTATGCTTTCCTGATGACTTCAATGTACAAGCACAAAAATAAACAAAAGCACAGCAAACGCATCTTTACCAGTGACAAAAATCAAGAGGGAAACTGTATTTCCATGCAACTGGAATATAGTCTACTAGAAATTGACAATATTTATGCATTATACAGATAACGGCTAATTTGAAGCGCTTGCACATATTGATGCCAGAACAGTATGCTTTCCTGATGACTTCAATGTACAAGCACAAAAATAAACAAAAGCACAGCAAACGCATCTTTACCAGTGACAAAAATCAAGAGGGAAACTGTATTTCCATGCAACTGGAATATAGTCTACTAGAAATTGACAATATTTATGCATTATACAGATAACGGCTAATTTGAAGCGCCAAAGCAGTAAAATATGGCCCAAGAGTGAAAACAGTCTTCAAACTGTGATATATTGTACAGGATTCCATAATTTGAAAAAATACTGTGCTAACCTGAGAACATTCTCTCCTCTCTCCCTGCCTTCCTTCTTGTAGCCAATCAATATTCTGGGGATTTTTGCCTTCATTCTCCTTGTGGACAAAGCAGTCTTTTGAGTGAGAAGTGGAGAGCTCCAAGATTGCCTATTAATTCATGACAGCCTTTGGAGAAATGTGTACGTTACAGTTTCTCAAATGCAAGGCAGTTTGGATCGCAGGGAAGACTTCAGGACTGCAATGAGTCACAACATTAGAACAGAGAAACAGGATGGCAGATTAAGACCTTGTACAGAAATACAAGATTTTTGTTGATGACTTTAATGCACAAGCATGGATATGCTCAGGCGTTATAACTCAACATTAAGACTGACAAAAAGTAGTGATGAGCTTTGTTGGCAGATGGATCCATGTAGCTCCATCCAGAATATAAAGGTGAATGTCTCTTTGGAAAGGAGGGAAATAAAAACCTAGGGCAGGGAAAGCCCTGAAGGGAAGCCTCTAGGACAGTGATGGGCAACCTAAGCCAGTGAGTGGGACACATGACTGGTTCTTCTCATCAATGGGCCACAAGATTGTTGTAACCAAGACTGTCTCTCGGGATGGAATAGTTTTGCTAACTGCGCTTGCGTACCTAGAATTTGCGGGATATGCTGATTGAACCATGGTAGTGCTTTGATTGGATGCATGGCGCTTTCAGTCAATGTTGTGCAAAATCAACACACACTGCAGTTCACGGGTCCTTGCTTTCTTTATGTGAGTGTCATGAAGACAGAAATCAGCAGAATCTAGCAATCTTGCTGCATGGGCAATGGTAAACAAAATGCCTTGTGGGCCACACACAGAACACCGATGGCCACATGCAGCCTGCGAGCCACAGGTTGCCCAACAATGCTCCAGGAAGAGCCAATTTTAGGAAGGAATCTTTGGATGAGGATTTTTTTTTTAAATAATAAACAAAATAATTATAAATAAAGCTAAACCCCAAGAAGGGGAAAGTTGGACTAACAGGTTCTGAGTACTTTGCTGAGGATAGGTTAGGGGCTAACATTTTGTAGTGGAGGTGGGATTCCCTAATATCCACTGCACAAAGAGGGAAAATGGAAGAAATTCTGAAATGGATGATAGAACAGCATCTACACTAGCAGGCAGTTCAGAAAGCACCCTTGCAGCAACAGCACAGGCTGATGTTCCACTGCTACCAGTTTCAGATGCAAATGAGGCTTATCTGGTTACTTATGAATGGGTAATTAATGCAGTTCAATGAGACAAGGAGTCATTTAACCTCTTCCACCTCCCTTTTATTGTTTGACACAGCAGTGCAAGCTTCATTTGAGGGCTTGGACAAGCATGTTGCCATAGGTTACAAGGCTATATGGATTTATTTTGGACTGAATGAGAGGTCTCATGCGAACTTACCAGAAGAGGTTCTGAAGTGAGCTCTTTTTGTTAGGGATGGAACCACATATTTTTGCACAGTATTTGATGGCTTGGGAACTCATTGGCTCAGGCCTAATACCCAGATGGTAAGGGAACAGAAAGATGTTATAACAATGGAGCTCTGCTTAGAAAGTCTGCCTGAGAGGATGAAGGCTTCTGTGGACAGCTGGTGTTGGTGCTCAGTGGTAAAGGGACATAAAGAGGATTATCCAGAAGTTAAGCCACTAGAGATAACCACAACCACGTGCTAAAAATAAAGGACATCCAGCTGGACAGTAAGGATTAAAATCCCTTTTAACTAGTTAACCAGTTAACCGATTGGGAGGCAGTGCCCCCCCTCCCCCCCCCCCAGAGCTGGAGTAGCTGCCTGCCCATGGCAGGCAATAGGTTGCTTCAACCCCCACTGGTTTCTTGTAATGACTCATCTGTTAAGGGTGAGGTTTATTGGTTAACCATTATCATCCCTGCTGGATAGATGATAGAGCCATCTCTTAGAAGAACGAGGGAGGAAACAAGAAGGACAGGAATGCTTGCCCAGAATCTAGTAAAAACCCAACACCTTTGACAGGGTGATCAACTTTCACATATAAAAAAAAGCCATGCATTTCTGGAGCGTGACTACGTGGAGATTTAAGCTCTCACTAAAGCCACGAATACTGGACTTTTGACAGGAAGAGACTGCCAATAAACTAGAAAGAGGATGGTAAAACACCTAAGAAACTTGGAAGTGACCAAATATAAGTTAGAGGGTTTTAGTCAAGAGTGAGATACTATAGGCAGCAGAACCTATTAAGATCACGTCTGTTAGCATGGGAATTCTGAACAGAACCCATGACTTGCTTCCCTATTTGGGAGTCATATGAATTGACTCTGTTCTCCTCATCACCATGGCCTGTTGCCAGGAGGGGAAACTAGAAAATTTCCCAGAAATCCAGGGCATGTGCTGGTATATTTCTCAGTGGTGGATATTATGTGTAATATACACATAAGCTCATAGGTACCCAAAAGACATGGACTTCTTAAAGGTGTGTGTGTGCACAACAATTAGCTCAAATTAGTACAACGAGCAATCTAGGCTAGAAGAAAAACTTCACAAACAGAAACCAGCAGACTCTGGCAACCCTGTGTGGGAAATGGTAAATAAAATGTCTCACAGGCCACACAAAGAATGCCGATAGACTGCAGGCTGTCCACCGCTGAATTAGTATATGTGAGTTACTGAAGTCTCGCTAGTTTAGCTCAGGTGAGTGATCAATAGTAAAACACCACAAACTCCAGAATGGTATAATTATATGTGCAAAATTATTTGATTAGCAGTTGAGTCATAATTCAGGATGCTGCATCCTCTCTCCCCCTCCCCCCTTTGCATTCCAAAGATCAGCAGCACTCCAGCTTCAGACCACACCTATTGATGGAATAGCTGGATCAAATTTAAGTACCACTTAATTAACTATGTGATTTTTAAGTGTGGGCATCAGTTATATGCAGGCAAATCTTGACTTACACCACAAACTAATAAGGTATCAAGGATGAGCTCTGAAGCTCTATATATTTAACAGAACATATACTCTTCAGACGCTCACAAAGATTTTCACACAATATCCCACCAATGAGTCTAACCCTGATCTGCAAGGATCACTTGTTGGAGTGAAAGGACAGATTTAATTCCTTAGTTTTAGGCACTGACTGGACAACAACAGAACCAATGAATGCCGGTTGTTTTGCTGGGTTTTATGTGGATACATACCCACGTACCTGGGGCCTGTCTGAAAAGTGAGACTGATGTCTCTAGCAAAGGCTGAGAGACTCAATTAGGATTTCCAGAAAGTACTGCTATTTCTTTAATGGTGGAATTTTTTCTTATTCTATATTGATATTGCTTGCAATGTGAAAGATGTATGATTAGTTATGACGTTTTAAGCGTACTGTCTTTTTTTCTTGAAGTTTTAAAGTACGGGATACTAAACCCAATTTTTGGTAACATTTTAACAAAAATAAACTTTTTACAAAATAATTTATCAGTGATCCAGATGGCCTCCATTTCAGAACAGATTCAATTTTCTTAAAATTGCTAACAAGAGAAATGTATTCACTTGGAAAAAGTTGGTCCACAAAATACACACTGTTGAGCACTTCCAACAAGCATGGAAACAGCTATCCATTCCCACTCAGATCAAGAAGTCTTCACTGTTAGTAACTGGAGGAAATTAACAGATGCTACCTGTGTTTGGGGAAAGTGTACGGAGTGGGCCAAAGGGAAAGGATGTCGCTTAAGGGTTTTTTTCAAGGTAAAAGTAGTGTGTCAGGAGAAAGACTATGGAGGGTTGAGAGAATTTGGGGACACAGAACAACCTACACCCAAAAATAAGACATATTGTGATTATGCATTTGAATTATATCAGAAGGATAAACAGATTTATACTTTGTTAATGTCAACAAACTTAACAAATGATAGTACTAATTTCAATTTTTTCCATATATGGAGATGTTACTTTTATATTTACTTCACAGTTTTGCTCCTCTTTCCACTGAGTACTGCTTCCCTTCCACCTGGGAATACTTCAGCCCGCTATCCCAGTCCTATGCTCCAAGGCTCAACTACTGCACACTTTCCAGTGCTGTCTCACACTTCTCTTGGCAGTTTCTAGCAGCCTTCATCTCATACACATGTGAGAAATTTCATCAAACTCCTCCACAATCTGTAGCCAGCAGAAGCGGGCTGTTTTGCTGGTAGCATGGAAGGTGGGCAGCACTGCTTGGATTGCTCCTTGCCCTGTTCTCAATTAGGCTCCTACCTCAATTACAAGTCCCATTCTTTCTGCACCATAATGGCAGGGAATACAGAGGAAAGGCTGCTCTTGCCAGATTATGTGGGAATGACAGCTACTCTTATATATTCCATCTGTAAAACTACTGCTAATACATGAGAACACAAAAATTACAGTCACTAAATCCTGTTTGTTAAACACAAAATTATTAAATGCTATTACATACAAAATAGTCAATTGTAACACAATCACAAATAATTGGATCTGGAAGATCGAGATACAAAAGGAGCACTTAAAGACAATAAAGTCATTGCGGAGAAACTAAATGAATTCTTCGCTTCAGTCTTCACGGCTGAGGATGTTAGGGAGATTCCCAAACCTGACCCGTCCTTTGTAGGTGACAAATCTGAGGACTTGTCTCAAACTGAAGTGTCATTAATGGAGGTTTTGGAATTAATTGATAAACTTAACAGTAACAAGTCAGCGGGACCGGATGGCATTCACCCAAGAGTTCTGAAAGAACTCAAATGTGAAATTGCGGAACTATTAACTATGGTTTGTAACCTATCCTTTAAATCAGCGTCTGTACCCAATGACTAGAAGATAGCTAAAGTAACGCCAATATTTAAAAAGGGCTCTAGAGGTGATCCCGGCAATTACAGACCGGTAAGTCTAACATCAGTACCAGGCAAATTAGTTGAAACAATAGTAAAGAATAAAATTGTCTGACACATAGAAGAACATAATTTGTTGGGCAAAAGTCAACATGGCTTCTGTAAAGGGAAATCATGTGTTCCTAATCTATTAGAGTTCTTTGAAGGGGTCAACAAACATGTGGACAAGGGGGATCCAGTAGATATAGTGTACTTAGATTTCCAGAAAGCCTTTGATGAGGTCCCTTAACCAAAGGCTCTTAACCAAAGGCTCTTAAGTAAATTAAGTTCGATTACTGATGCGTTTTGCGGCTGAATTTTCAACTGTACAAAGGGGGAGGAGCCAGTGTGGCAGAGGCAGCGTCATGGGTGCACTAATTGTAGAGAAACAACGAGGAGTCCTGTGGCACCTTATAGACTAACAGATTTATTGGAGCATAAGCATCTGACAAAGTGAGTCTTTGCCCACGAAAGCCTATGCTCCAATAAATCTATAAGGTGCCACAGGACTTCTTGCTGTTTATGCAGATTCAGACTAACATGACTACCCCTCTGATAATTGTGGAGACTATTAGGAGGAGGGGAATTAAGACCAAAAAAAGACAGTATGTTCTAGGGGAGGGCTACTCAACTTTGGAAGCCCCAGGGGCCACAATGATACTCCCAGCACACGCAGAGGGCCGCAACTGAAGCGTGGTTGCATTTACATGCAAATAGTCTTTGTTTGTATGCCCATCAGGGTGAAGGAAGCTAAGGCAAGACTACAGATCACACAGGCCCCATTTAAGTCAGTTCTACTGATATTAATAAAACACAATATTTACCCGATTTCCACCCACGACAGCATTGCTAATGAGCAATGACAGTCTAGGAATTTAACTACAAAAACGCATCTCGACAGAAGACCATTCTATTGACTCCTTTTTTGTTTTGGCTCCCAGGTGTTGAGCCCCACGTAAGCCCAAACCGCACTGCGGGCCACAGGCGTGGGTCGCATGTGGCTGATGGGCCGCGTGTGGAGTATCCCTGCTCTAGGGGCTAGCTTCTCATCTCTGGCGGAGATGAATTCGTTGCAGCTGAGGCATAAAGGCAGTTCTTTCATCCTCGAGTGCTCCGCCCAATCCCAGGGCTGGTCCAACTCTTGCTGTAATTGACGTCTATACCGCACAGGAAGGCAGAACTGTAGCAGGTGGCGGCACACCTGTGCAAGCTTTAACCTAGACAAGAGAGCAACACAAAGGTACCTGCCCATCCATGACCTTGGGTACACACACAGATTGGCTAGCCCAGGCTGATGTCTGTACTGCTACGTTTCCACCACAGGCTGAACCTCTCTGGTTCGGCAACACCCGTGGTCTGGCATGATGTTTGTTAGCCGGATGTCTCCTTATCACGGGTGGGGACAAGTTTCCTGCAGTCCCATCAAGTTTGTTTACGCCTCTTGGAACTAGTTCCTTAACTGTGATTTTTTTTCTATTCTCATTCTCACATCCCATGCTCAGAGGTACCAGTAATTATCAAGTGCATTATTAGCAACAATAAAGTTGATGTAGTCAGGAGGTACCATAAACTCCATTAATATATGGTTTGTTAAGACATCCTTTACTATCAAATATGTCTAGAATATCAGCAAAGCTAATGAGACAGAAGGGTACAATGTTCAACAGCCAGTAAAATGCGTTGGAATCATTTTATATCCCTTTTTACCATGACAAGGCTGAATGTTAAGATGTCACTGTATTAGTCAATAACATAGTTATAGCTAGACAAACGTAAGCCTACGTTCATATTTGAATATGTTTCGACCTTTTTGAGAAAGGTTCCAAGAAACTTCAATAGAGCATGACTGCATTGCACATTTTGTGTAGTCTGATGAATACAGAACTCATAAAATTATAATAATTCTGGGTTTGACTTTTTTCTGCTTTATAAAAACAGCTACTTAGTGGCTAGTGTCAAAGAAAATACCTTGGTCATTTAAAAATGTTCATTTTCTCCAAAATACCAAAAGAATCAGTACTTTTTACAAAATTATGTATTTTAATATAAAGCCAACTGATGTTCAGAAAAAGGTATTTTAAACTGCAGCTTTGTTTTCGTGACACTGTTCCCTCTATAACTTAGCACAACTCAGTGAGGCAGTATTTTTGCTGCAACAAGATCAAGAAAAGCCCATCATCCACTTATCAGAAACGTGCAAGGCCCTTTTACTCAAGTTTTACACAAGAAAACAAATCTTGTTCCTCTCTTACTTCAAATAAAAAAGGACACCAAAACAGCTCAGGGAATTTTAACAATGATTTCTAAACATGTAACAAGGGCATCAGGCTGACTACGTCTATCTAGGGATGTAAGTGAGTAGCTGACTCGTCGACTAACCAATAAGCGTAGGCTTATCAGTCAAGTCAACTACTCGCATTCCCCCCTACTTTGCTGCCTCTGTATAAGAGGCAGCAATGGGAGGAGCAGGAGCGGGCACTAGGGGGATGGAGAGTTGGCTTAAAAGGAGGTTCCCCGGCGCCATCTCTGTTGTGGTGCCTGTCGCCCCACCTCCACACTGCTGCCTCTATCAAATGGGACCCCCCGCAGAGAGGGGCTGCAGTTGGAGCAGCCTCTGCCCGCGGTCAGTCCAGCTACCCACCTGGTTCTTACTACATTTAAACAGCACAGCCACAGTGGGAGTAGGTTCCAGACTCAACGTGACCCAGGACTGAGCCAGGCTACCTTCCTTTATCGACTAACTGTGTAGCTGATAAAAATTCGATCAACTATTTGATTAGCCAATTAACTACATCTTAACCTGCCTACTTCTATCCCAAGCTGAATTTGTAATTTGAACTTTTGAAAATCCTGAACATGAGGACCCATGCTTAAAACCATCCTTAGAAGAATAGTTATATAATACTGCATAGAAGTAGAGCAATGAGTGGCATTTTACAATAAAAGATCCTAAGTATAAAAATATAAGTAAAATTTAACACTTTGAACATTGTGCATATGAACTTTGGTTTTGTTCTTTCAAATGAGAAATAAAGGTTTAAAACATTTATCTGGTTTTAGAACGTTCTTAAGACTTTCTTTCCAGTTATAATAGAACAATTCTGACAACCGGCAGGTGGTGTTTGTGCAACTGTCAGCTAGTTCTCTGCCCCTGGAGATGAAATGCAGAACTCCACCTGCCTTACTGGGATTTGGAAGTAAGACTGAGTCTCCAAATCCACTGCATCATTAAGCTTATTTCATAGAAGAGGTTTTCAGCTGAACAACTAAGCAGCAGCAAGTTGAGGATACCAATGAAATACAAAAGATTAGGAGAGAAATAGAACAAAGTATAGGAAAATTTTAGTCAAGATTTCTGCTCATTCATTAACTATTTTTCTAACTATTTTTAAATATTTTTCTTGGCACTGTGAAAATACTTTAAACTCTCAGATAAACTCAACAACTGCTATAGATGCATAGTAAAACATGTTTATTTGCTATTTAAAATTAATCTTTGAAGCGGTGGCTCAATGAGCATTTGAATCTATAGTTCTATCCTCCCTCAAAAACAAAGGGAGGGTAAAATAAAAGATAGAATGAGCATTATAAAGTTCATTAACAGATATGACGAAAATATTTATGTCTAGTTTTGGTAAAGAAAAGGAACCAGCAAAAATGGGGTTAATTCTAGCCTTAAAAGGAAGCCTGTTCAACACCACTTCAAGTGAACACAAATTAGAACGACCCTGGGAATCTATAAAGCCATGTTTTATTGCCAAGGATCTGCAGTAAGATCTGCATTTGCTGTCAAACAATGACAGTCATTATTTAGGATGTTTAACAGAATATGCTTTTATATGGATTTTTTGTTACTAAGTTGCTCAACAGGTGGCATTCAATGCAGCATGGCATCACCTAAATAACATTAAAAGTTTTGAATGTCTGTATAGCTGAAATTAACATATCCACTAACAGTGTATCTGAATATAAACCAGCCTTATGGTGTGTGGAAGAAAATCAGATCTGAACAAATGACTATGGATGGACACACGGGAATTAAAGGTAAATTCTAACACTTTACATAGCTACAAACAATCTCATTGCTGAAGGTATTGATTTGAATTTGGTGGACTTTTATGCATAGTTAGATTATCATTCGACACCTACCTTTGTGAAACATTAATATTCCAAAACATGAATTTTCCCTTCATTGCATCTGAAGCTGTTTATCACCTCATTCAAGTACAAAAATTGTTTCTAATATGAATATTTCAGGAAAAAGGCAACAATTCTATTATTCATGACATGCTTAGATTTCTAGTTGAAAAAAAATCAAAATTACCTCTCAAAAATGCTTTGCACAAACAAAGACTTGCACTGCAATAATGCCTCAAAATATATCCTGCTAACGACTAACCATAGCTGGAATAATTTTAAAAACATTAAATCAATACTAAAATTCATAATGCATTCTATTAATTTTCTCCAATTACAATAGTCTGATCTTTTTCTCCCCTGGGAGCATGCCCTACCAGTATTTTAAAGCATGAAGATTTTAAAAGAATAAAAGGATAAAGTATTCTATTGATTCATGTATTTATCCAAATATATCTTTGATGTGTTTTATACAAGTATATATTTCACTTTTATAGTTCAGAACAGAATGTAATCATCCTACTACTAAACAGGTTTGTTATTTTAAAATATATATAAAATCAATTATAAAATATTCAAATTGATCATTTCTTGCTTTAAAAAAAAGTTGAAACTCTTGCCACGATTTCAAATTTACATAACCATACATTAAAATAAAGGTCTTATTGTTCACCCTGGTATGTCATTTTCACCTCCATTTTCATTATGAAAGGTGATTCAGTAAAATTTATTGCAAAGAAAATAAGATTAAACATGAAGATGGTGTAAATTAATACAAATTCACATTATCTTCACTTTTAAAAAGATGTCTTTTCCTTCTGTCTTCCTCCATAAGCAGAAGGACATTTCGTCTGTCTAGATTTTGCTAACATTTTTGCAGCCAAAGGCTATGCTCTTTAATAAGCTTGCTATTTAACTATGAAAACAAGGAATATGATACATAGAAAAGTTCCTCTCCTACCCCAGAGATTAATGGGTCAGCTTTACTGATGCATCCCCCTCTTCTATTCATCAATATTAAGAGCGCCTGATTAGCACATGTTTGAGCTGACTGCTCCTAATAATTTCTCTCATGTACGTTAAATGCTTTTTTGGCTGAATATTTGTTTATATGTATTCGAGCATCAAGCTCCTAAACACAAAATTACTTGTGTATGTGAATAAGTGTAAACTCACAATCCCTATACGATTGAATGCCTGAGCTTTAAAAACATTAACATAAATCATCTAAGCATGAGATTAATAATTTTTCATTTACTAATTGCAGATCCAAGGATATTCAGCAATTGTTAAAAGGAATGAATGGACCAAATAATCTTCCACTTTCCAATTTCAAGAAGAAACATTTGTGAAGAAACATTGTATATGCAATTCAACTATCATTACGTTCAGAAAGGCCCCACATGATTGGGTATTAAATTTTCTCACTTACCTTGTACATGGAATCTTACAAATAGGAAATTAATTTATTTTCTGTAACTGATAAATTTCCAGTCATTCTAAGCCTAATTAATTTGGCTTCCATTCCATTTCCAAACAGTTTAAACATTTTATACACAACAAAACCCCTATTTCCAAATCCTTAAAATTCTTGCTGAAACCTCTTTGGAAATCAACAATTTACCATTTTGGCCTGAAAAGTCAACGCGTAAATATTGATGTAATCTTTCGAGCAGATACCTTAACCATGGAATCTTACACAGGAGCATTATTGCCATTTATTTGTAACAGCACATCTTTTGAACGAAATGGATCATATTTATGTAATGAAAGCATGCCTTCTAGCTTGGCTGATGAATCAGAAGAACACCAACAATACATTATTGGGCTTTTCTTATCATGCCTTTACACTATTTTTCTTTTCCCTATTGGCTTTGTAGGAAACATTCTGATTTTAGTTGTGAACATAAGTTTTCGTGAAAAGATGACTATCCCTGACCTGTACTTCATAAATCTTGCAGTAGCTGATCTGATTTTAGTTGCTGACTCCCTCATTGAGGTTTTTAATCTTGATGAAAAGTACTATGATATCACTATTATTTGTACTTCCATGTCTCTGTTTCTTCAGATCAACATGTATAGCAGCATTTTCTTTTTGACATGGATGAGTTTTGACAGATATATAGCACTTGCAAAAGTAATGAGGTCCAACATATTTCGCACTATGCAACATGCTAGATTAAGCTGTGGCCTCATATGGATGGCATCTATCTCTGCAACACTAGTGCCATTTACAGCTGTACATTTGCAGCACACTGGAGAGATCTACTTTTGTTTCGCAGATGTAGAAGAAATCCAGTGGTTAGAAATAACTTTGGGGTTTATAATCCCCTTTGTAATCATCGGCCTTTGTTACTCATTAATTGCTCGAGTTCTTGTAACAGCACACAAACACAGGAGTCTTCGACTACGGCGCCAGAAGGCTCTTCGAATGATATTTGTAGTTGTCCTGGTTTTTTTTATCTGCTGGCTACCTGAAAATGTCTTCATTAGTGTTCAGCTTCTTCAAGAGAAAGGAAAGACAATCTCTTCAGGCAACCCATCTTTTCGGCATGATTATCCCCTAACTGGACATATTGTAAACCTAGCAGCCTTTTCTAACAGCTGTTTGAACCCTCTGATTTACAGTTTTCTAGGTGAAACTTTTAGACACAAATTACGATTGTATGTTGAACAAAAAACTAAAATGTCAACATTCAATCGTTTTTGTCATGCTGCCCTAAAGTCAGTTATTCCTGACAGTAATGAGCAATCAGAAGTTTAATTTAGTAGTGCTATATAAAAACAACTGAAAATTGCACAAATATAAACTATAATGCTTGTGACTAACAGTAAAATATATGTATATACAATGCCTTGCTGAGTATTGAAGGTTTATTCTCTAAATATTTTTATGACAAGATTTCAATGGGGAACAATACATTTTAGTTAGATTTGTATTTAATTATCAACAGACTAATTAAAAGCTGACTAATAAGGAGCCTTTAGTTTTGCATGATTTATCAGAAAATATTATTGAGCTAGGAAGAAACAAGATAACTCAATTATCAGAGAATAGCTACTTTGCTATATGTAATATGCTAGATGTTTCCACTTAAATAATGAAGTTGCCACAACAGTGAGAAAACCCATTACAACACATTGATGTGGAGATACAGAAAAAAATTACTGATTTTCCATCTAAATATAGCCATCTGACAACTTTGTGAAAAACTATTGTGCTGTGCACAGTGCTGCATATGCTTTCTGTTCTAACACATTTGAGTCATTGATTTTTTGTTTCTCTTAATGTAATATACTAGCATGCAGATTCTTTCCTAGTTTATAATGTTTACTTCAAGTCTGAAGTCACACAGTCACCTCCTTCCGTACATTACCTTATCTCAGAGAACCCATCAAAAGCAAATTTTGCTGCTTCATTTTATTTTTAAATGTTGTCCAAAGGAAAATCAGGGTATTTTGTCACAAGTGCAAATGTCACATTGAAGTGCCCTAAACTACTGCTATCTTCATATTAATATTTGTGTGTGTATGTATACACACAAACACATTTACATCAGTCACCACATTTAAATGAAAATTGAGACTTGTTAATATTGTAACAATAACTGTCTTGGCTGTAAAAATGGAATGTTGTTTTTAAAAAATACTTGCCTACTGCAAAAAGTGACAGTGTAAGAAGCTCTAATTAAAATGTATTTTTTGGCATCACAACTTCTATAATTGAGAAAATGATTAGCCATCAGGGTTTTTTCCTCTCAAATCCACTGGACTTCCAGGATCTTAGATGCCTGCTGGCTTTTTTATGGATTTTCTCCTTTTCAGAAAAGTCAGATCAAGAAGTAAAAGCAAAAACATCTTAGCATTACACAGTGGAATGGGGGAGGAGGAATTTTCCAAATTCTGCCTGCCTTGAAACCAATAACTGAGCCTTGATCTCAGATGCCCTGGCATATAGCATGTAATACATTAAGGCAAGGCCTTCACAGAAGGTGAAAAAAGATCACATTAGGAGCACTTAAAAAAAAAACCAACACAGAAACACTGAAATATTACTTATGTCACTGAATTGCACAGAACAGGACACAGACATATAATCTCATCTCTATATTCAAGTAGTTACGCATGCAAATCTCTCCAAACTGAGATAAGACCCCTTTATTCCCACTTTACATGTATTCTACATGGGCATGAGTATGACACATGAACAAGGGTTTTTTTTAAATATTTTTTAAGAATATTTCACATGCAATTACATTTCTGCTGAAATACTTGAAAAGTTTCTTAATGGAAGCTATAACCACAAAAGACTTGATCTCTAGGTGCATAGGTACCACTGGGTGATGGGAGGATTAACACCACATTTAGCTATACAGATATTCCTCAAATTGACGTACAAGAAACGTGTATGTTGGTGTTTCTTATACCTGTTTGTTCTTTGGTTTTATTTGCATATTTTCATTATCCAGAGCATCTGAGGAACAATTTCACTTTTGCACATCTTTCCCGTGGGAGTGTGAATTCATCTCCCAGGGAGGGTGTCTGGTATCGTGTCTTCTACATGTAGAATGAGTTGCTACACAACACTTAGCAACAAATCTCCTATATTCCTACTATCTAACATGTGGTGTTTTGTTCTTTCCCCACCCGCTTGCATCTCTGCAATTAACCAACGTTATTCACCAGCTATTTATTGTCCCTGTATATTAACTTCATCCTGGAAAGAATGGCATTTTAACTGGCATAGACTTGAAGGAATGGATTCTTCCCTCAGGTAAGCACTGCAGATAAGTCAGTCACCACGCATGCATGTACAAAAATCCTGGAGTGTCCCTCTCAAGCATCAAAATTACTCAAAATATCTTACATGTGCTTAAAAAAACCGAACACACACTCAAAACAATACCATGTATAACGGTGGGTCTGGGGGCACTACTGTGAGGGTCAAATCAGGGCAAACTGCTTAGAACCAGAACTACTTATAGTTCAAGATTGGGGTCCTTCTCTACAAGGCATCAAATCAATCACACAGAGTACTTCAGCTGCCACTCTGGCCAGCAAGAAGTCTCATAAGCAATCCCCTTAGATAACCCAGCTTTACCTGTACCACAACCAGCCACCACTCCTTACACAAAAACCAATCTCACCAACTACGAACAGGTTCTCCCGTCCCAAAAGACTACTCATAGTTCCAGGTCAATTTACTGCTGTATCTATCCTTTAGCATCTAAAATCTAAAGGTTTATTAATAAAAAGAGAGAGAAGGGCGAGAGTAAAATTATTCAAGAAAGCACATTACATACATCAATCACCAAGCTCTTGATCCAGGCTCTGAGCAGAGATGTAATAAGCTGCTAGCTTAAAAGTCTCTGGAGTACATCCTATGTTAGGATGGGTCAACAGATCCTTCCTAGCTCTGTGTTCATAGCAGAGCTGTTCTGAAGTCAAGAATAGGATTGAAGACAAAGATGGAGGAACCCCCAAGATCCTTTTATAATCTTGCCCATATGGAGGGAAATCTATTGTTCTCCTGAGTGAGGGTACCTCCCAAAATGGAGCTGACCACATGATCAAATGACCTCTCCGTGTCCCTTTAAGCAAGGAGCCATAGTGTACCTGCTGGTCTGCAGGTTAGCAGCCAAATTCCTCAGGTGTTTATTGGCAACACATAAGAGTCATTGTTCATGCAACAGCACAGCTATTCACTGATTAATCACTCCTCACTGCTGCTGTCTCCCAGACATAAAACATTTAAAATACAAGTACAGAACCCATATTCATAATTTTACAGACAAAATTCACACATGTATACAAGTAGCATAAATAGAATCAGCATAGCACAAGCTTTCATTAGAGACCTCACTTGTCCAACTTTGCACAGGATTTGGGGCAAACACACAACAGGTATCAGGGGTTCAATATGGAGGTTGTCATGGGGAGAGAGAACTATATCTCTCTCACGATAGCAGCTTGGGGCTAGTGAGAAGTGCCTCTCCATGTCTGCTGTAGTGGGCACAGCCGGGGGAGGGGTTCATGTCCTCTGGCTGGAGCAGGTCCATAACCAAACCCTTACCTTGCTTTAAGTTATAAGTACCCTGACCTTACGTCCCAAATTTTCTGGGACTGTCCTGGTTATAGGTACTAAGTCCCAGTGTCCCCATCGAGTAGAGAAATGTCCTGGAAAGTCCCACCAGACATTTCACACAGACCGAGACTGTACACTTCCATTGCTCCTCAAGCGGCACAGTGCAGCAGCAACAGCGTCCTCCCTCCCCCGAAGAGCGCACAGGAGGCTCCATTGGGGCTTTTCAGGCTGGGGTGGGTTTCTGGTGGCATGTGGTTTCTGGCTACTTTGCCACCCACTGCCCCAGCACCATGTGGTTCCCTCCTTCCCCCATGGGACTGCCTGCCATGCAAGGCCCCTGGTCCGGCCACACAGCTGCCTCCTCCACATGTGCAGGCAGCAGCTTGTTCTTCTTACAGCGAGCGGCCTCATGGCTGGGTAAGGATCCCCACTGTATGGGGCAGGGAGACTGAGCTCCCTCCCCCTTCTCACCCTGCTGGGGGAACAACAGAGTGCTGTCTGGAGGCACTTCCTGCGGCAAGGGGGTGCAAAGCCAGGAGGCACTTGTAAATGCAGGATAACTGCACTTGTAACTTTTCTTACAGGTTACAAGTAAGAAACACCTGCCCTTCTCACTGCCCTCAGCCCTCCTGAGACCTGCCCCCCTCCACCAGCCCTTCTCTCCCCCCTGTGCCCACTCCTCCAGTAACCCCACTCTGATTATGTGAGCTACCCCCTTTCCTAACACTTCCCTCTATACACCTGCCCGGCCTCTCCCCTCTGGTACTGGTCTCTCCCCTGCAGGTATCTGCCCTTCTGCTTCACCCCAAGAATCCCTTGGCACCTGCACCTTCCCTTACCCCTGCACCCTCCTGGTGCCTCCCCTTCCCTCACTGCCCCTGCCCCCTTTGTCCTCTTTTTCCCTGATGCCCACCCCCTCATCACCCTTTGCCCCCGTTCCCCTCATGCTCCTGTGCCCTCACACATAACTTGCTCCATCCCCGCCTTCCTCATGCACACCCCTTCTTTCAAGCCTCCTCCCAGCACTTCCCCCTCCCCCCTCTAGCCCTCAATGCCCTTACCCTCTCCTCTCCCAGCATCACTCTGTCCCCCCTCCCACTGATACCTCCCCTCCTGCCCTTTTCCTCATTGTCTCCAGTTCGCCCCCTGGCATTTGTCTCTCCACCACGCTGTCCCTTGGTGCCTTCCCCTTTCTTCTCCTGACCTGCCCCCCTCCCCTCAGCACAAGCCCCTTCCTCTCCCACCTCTTCCACCTATTTTTCCCGCACCCCCACCTTCTGCCTTCCAATTTGATCCTGTGATCGGGCCCGGCCACAGCTGCTTCCGTGACCCCTGACCTTGTGCCAGGCCTGGAGCCGGGCCGCGCAGTTTTAAAATTTAAAGTCCCGGGCCGTGACGTCACAGCACACCGAGCGTCTCCCCTCTCAGCTGTTGCGCGGGCATTTGAACATGCCACACATGCGCTCCCTCAGATGTCTTGCAAACCTGGCGCCTCCCCTCTCAGCTGCTGCGTGGAGAGGGTGCGCAAGTCTCTCGGAGGGAGTGCATGCCGCCATGCAACAGCTGAGAGGGGAGACGCTGGTTTGCAAGACATCCGAGGGAGTGCATGCACCCCACTTTGGAGACTACTGTTTTTAAAACACTGGCGTGGGCGCACATAAATGCCCGGGCGGGCGCCATGGCGCCCGCGGGCTCTGCGTTGGGGACCCCTGGAATAGAATATCGACTATTTGCTCTCCCTCTTGATGCTTCGATGAAAGGCAGCAAGGAAGGGGAAATAGGAGCAAGTGCCGGGGGGGGGAGGGGGGGAGCTCGCTTAAAAGCTGGTTTCCTCCTGTACTGTCTCTGCAGTGCCACTTGTCCCCCCCGCCCTGCTGCCTCTACCAGAGGCAGTGGGGGAAGGGGGCATAGGGGAGGCTGCTCAGGTAACAGCTCCAGTCCATGAGGTCCCAATGGGGAGTTGGGCCCCGCAAACAGTCCCGTTTATGGTGGCCTGGGCTGTCTGCTGTGAACAGGAGCTACTGGACTCAGTGCGATCCACGACTGAGCAGTCCCAGCTCACACAGGTTGCTACACCTCTGCATTTTAAATGTAATAAGAGTCCGATGGCTCTTACTACACTTAAAATGCAGAGTCGCAGCACACATGGCCACTGGAGCCAGCACAATCCAGGATTGCTGAGTCTCAGCCGATTCCTGAAGCTATCCCTCTTGCAGCTCTGCAGAGTGGCGCTTATTGACTAATCATAGTTGATACAGGTGACCCCTGATTTACGACCCCCCCACATTTACGACAATTTTTTTTCATGCAAGATAGCTCCTAAAACCCCCCAATATATGTCCACAGATTGTATTTATGACGGCATACGACACGGACTCCATGCATCATCCCAAAATGGGAAATGCACAAGGTCAGTCAGACTCATCGGCCTGCAGCTGCTACTTGAATTGAATGCATCTCTGCCACATGTCTTCACTTTTTAGTTATTTTTGTGCATTATTTGAATTATTTAGTTTAGTTTTCCTCCATTTCCATAGTTAATTTTGGTATTTTTAGGGTGTGAAATGGGTTTCCAGGAATGAAACCGCCATTTATAACATTGCGCCTATGGGAAATGAGGGTAGGATTTATGACGGATTGACTTATGGTTGTTCTCCAGGAACCAATTAGGTCATAAGTGCGGGGGTCACCTATACAAACTGTATCGACTACATGATTAGCCTGATAATTGCAATTTAACATCCTTACCTTGAACATCAGTTCTCTCTGTCCCTTCCCCTCAACCTGTGAGGCTGGAGCGCCAGAGGAATGAGGTGTTTCAGTTGGGAGCCACATCAATGAGGGTTAGGGGTTTTTGGAGGAGTTTTGTATGCTTCTCACCTGTGTGCTCCCCAACTAATTTTTCAGTGGGTCACTGGCCCCAAACCCAAAAAAGGTTCCCCCGCTCCTGCCATAAATGAAGAAAACACGGAAGCCTTTTGTGTTGGACATAAATTAATATTTTACTTTATTTAAAATGGAGTTTAATAAATTAACACAAGGAAGTTAAAATGCTTAATCTTTAACAATTTAAATTAAGCCATTCTCCCTAGCTGCAGCAATAGCAAAATGGCTCCGGCTTAATTATGGAAACAATGAGTTTCCATTAGCAAATGGTGGTCCACGGAAAGGCTTACACTGAGTCAGGTGATTCACGGGCCAAAAACTTTGAGAACCACTGAAATAGAGGCACCCCTGATCTCTTCCCCCAAGTTAATGCAATACAGGATGGATTAATGCAATTTCTGTGTAGTTGCATGGGGGGCGGGTCCCAAACCCATCCCTATTGGTAGAGGACGGAAAGAGGAGTTCTTAGAGGGGTCACACAACACTCTTTACTTTCTGTCACTTGATCCCAGAAGTACTACCACCGGGGGTGGGACTTCATGTGACAGGTGAGTGTGGCCTAAGGGATCGGGTAGGTGGCTAATGAGGATGGGGCATGGCTAACATGTCCCCAGTTTTGGTTCAGAAAAATATGGTCACCGTAGTTAGAAGAGGAAGCTGTATATGGAATTTGGTGGCCCTAGCTCTTACCATTTAGGAGGAGTTCTTGAACTAACAGACAGATGCACAAACTCTCTCAAATATATAGTAGATATTTACTCACTCAATCCCAAGTCCTTGAATGTTTTACCCATGATAAATGTCTAACTTTGGAAATAAATAATTTTTTACAACAAATCTTTCAAACTCTGAAAACTTTCTGTAGTCAGTTATTATTAAAGTCCAGATACCACAATGACAACTAGAAATATCTAGGCAAATTATATTGTTATAAAATGAAAAAAATGTGTAATGTCAGGAATTACAAAATATGCAATTCCTCTTACTGACATAATGTACTACATTTAGAGCCAAAATTACAGCATGCCTACCACAATGAAGAAAAGCTGTTTGCTGTTGCCTACATATTTTAGATTTGAGTACAATCATGTGCTTCTTGAAACTCTAGCAATAGTTCTTCAATTACTCATTAAATAAAGTCCTCTGCCAGGGTGCAAGAACAGCTCACCTCCTCCCACAATTTCTCTCTCCCCTGTTTTTTAAATTAATGCAAATGAAGCAATATTCATATAAATGCCATTCAACTTCTACATGTACTGTATCATCATAAGTGCAGTTAAACAATCCACCTACACCATCACATATGGTATCAACTTGTGCCATTTC